TAGTTTTTTATGTTATTATCTACACACATCTGGTACATAAAGATAACACTATACCAATTTCATAAGGTATTTCTCTTGACCGAAATATTTGGTTCTTCTCTTAATGCAAATTTTGAAAATTAATAATTCAATATTTTTGTTTGAAACAATAATTATGATACAATACATATAATTTATGTGTAAACATGATGATTGGAATGAAGATTTTTTTAATTAATTAAATGACTGAAATAAACGTTTGATGAACATAGAAACAGACTAAAAAATTCAAACATATTATTAAGATGATGTCCGCATTTTTGGGGCCCTTTATAGCTTGCTGTTCGGTGTGAGCCAAGGCTCCGTGTTGAAGGTATTGTTTGATTTTATTTCGATTACTGCCTGGGTTAATGGAGATTATGATGAGCGATAGTTAAGGACTAATTTGGTTGACACTTTTATAATTTGTACCCGAAAATGAAATCTGAAGTGCCTGATTCTGCTGATAACTTCACCCGAAATTCAATTTTTAGAATCTATTTTCTTCAATTTCTATATTAAATATTTTTCATGGTTTAACAATTATGCATGGTTCCTTGAATCAATATTAATGAAGCCTTCTGAAATGGGATAAAAGTATTAAATACATATTAATTTGATTATCCTAAACGGATTACACTGTAGATGGTGCTACTGTTTTGTGTTGACCGAGTTAATACACGCATCTGTATAAAACATGAAAAACATGTTACCGTACATGTTTTCTAATATAAGTTTGCACTATGATTATACGGTTGAGTAAATTCTTTTTACAACTTTTCTGTATTTTCGGTATTATTTATGTGTTCAAAATACAAACAAATGTATTTTTTAGATCTAAATTTTAAAAACTGTTCGTTTGTTTTCAGATGCAGATCTAGGATTTTGGAAAGGGAGGAACTAGGCAATGTTCGGGATGGGACAGGTGAAAAGTCTATGCATTAACCGTATATGTAGCATTAGGGGCCTCCAATCACCCCTTAATCCGCCCAGAGACATATATACACAGATATATAACTTCAGTATATTTTTATACCGACCGTGCAAGGGCTGTATAGCCAGTCAAGGTCGTTAAAAACTTCCATTTGTTGTCAGTATATTTGTTGTGTATATATGTCTCTGATCCGCCTATGGTTTTCTTTATTAAGAGATCTGTTAATTATTGAAACAATATTAAGGTAAACTACGTAATTCGTACATCGGAATCAGAGATTATCATACTTTAATCGGTTTACGAATTTGTTGTCATCTGTCTAATCTGCCCCAAAAATAAAGTTTTGACATGTTCAAGTGATCTGGCAAATCAAGATCGTTATATACCTACATATAACATTTGCAACTTGTGGTAACTGTTATACTAATGCTGATTAAAACAATCAAAGGGAAATGTTTGAACATGTATTAAACATTAATAAAGAACCTATGTGTAGCCATTTATAGAAAAATGCCAGTCTTCGGTGACATATTCTGAAATTTCGGATATGATGATATTATAACCATAATAGAATACGAGGTGACCGATTCTGAAGTGCTTAAAATTCCAGAGTTTAAATATACAATATTTTTTATGGTTTGACAAGTGATGAATTTTCCTTCATTCAACACGAATAAAGGCTATTGAAATGTGGTAAAAAAATTAAAAAATACATTAAAAATCGGCCTAAACAGATTATACTGTATATGTCGTTGTTACTAGATTTGTATTCACTGAATTTAATATGAATCTGTAAAACAACGTGTTGCTTTACATGTTTTTTTTAAGTAGGTTAGCAAATATAAGTTTTGGCATGTTAAATTGATCTGGTAAATCATAGTTTGTTTTATACCTTCATATAACATTTGCATATTTTAGTCAAATTAGTGCTGATGCTGAGCGAATAGCAAGTTATAGAATTTCCAAACGTTTCTATTTGTTAATTAAACTTTGTCATAACAGTTGTGAAAATTATTTGGTGTATTTACATTTTTCTTTTATTAACGTCAATTAACACTATCCTACTTCCACGTTTGTTTAGTAACTTTTCCATCCTCACAGTTTTTCCCTCGCACTTGCGCTGTGCGGTTGGCGAATTACTAGCGAGAGTTTTCGTGGCTCAGGTCACTGTATACGGAAAAGCTATCGGTGAATTAGAGTACGGGAAGGCAACAATTCTATAGCAGTACATTTCTGAAGATTTTGATAAGATAAAAGATTTTTCTTTTAAGAGAAAGGCCATGTACATGTGTTTTATAGTAAAACTTATTCACCAATTCGGCAAGATTTTATTTATTTGTAGATCTTGTCTTTCTGATCATTTTTGCTATTCAAAGCTATGTTTTATTGTTTTCAAGATAATAGTCAAAAACTTAAATATTGGTAAAAATTGTTATCAAAGAGCAAGTATTCCTACAAAGAGTAGACTGGTGATTTCGGCTATTTGACTTATTTGTGGATCAAGTTTTGCCGATCATTTTTCTAATTTAAGTTTCTATCTATCTATTATTATTTTTCAGATATTATGCAAAGACGCAAAAAAAATATATGCTATAAATCTTTATCAAAGGGCAATAACTCCAATAAGAGGTCGTCAGACGATTTCATGATTGAAACTTATTTGTAGATCTTATCTTGTTGATCATTTTTGGTGTACAAAGTTTCTCTCTGCATATTTTAGTTTTTCAGATATTCGGCAAACATGAAAAAAATCGGTAAAATTCGTCATTTAAGGGCAACAACTATTGAAAATCGTCTGAGAGTTTTGAAGTAAATAGACAATATGCAGATCTCATCATTCTGAACATTTTTGCCCCTAACAGATTTTCTCCACTCATAGCGGTTTTCAAGATAATAGACCAAACTTGCATTCTACCCCTATATTTAATTTTAGCCATGTCGGCCATGTTTGTTGGCAGGCGGGGTCATCGGACACATTTTTAAACTAGATACCCTAATGATGATTGTGGCCAATTTTGGTAAAATTTGACCCAGTAGTTTCAGAGAAGATTTTTGTAAAAGTTAATGACGACGACGGACGCCAAGTGATGAGAAAAGCTCACTTGGCCTTTCGGCCAGGTGCGCTAAAAATTAGCCAAAATCGTCATTAGAGGGCCATAACTCATATAAGGATTCATCAAATGATTTCAGTCATATCAGCATTTTTGTAAAGCTTGTTTTGCTAATCATTTTTCTGTTAACAGTTTCTACCTTTCTATGATAGTTTTTAATATAATAGGCAATAGCTAAAAAAAATTGACAAAACATTGACATTTATGGGCAATAACTACTATAAGTAGTCATCTGGGAAGTAGTTACAACAAATACAACCTGTTTCACTAGATACCCTAATGATCATTCAATTCAAGTTTGGTTGTAATCAGTTCAGTTGTTCAAGGAAGAAGATTTTTTTCTTCTTTGGGAAGACGATGGACTACCAATTCAACACTGTAATTAGCTCTTTGAATAGTGTTTTTATTGGTATAAATATTGATTTTGTTATCAGTTGTTTTAGTCTTAGATACTAGTACATGATTTTTTTAATTAGTTGTTATTGGCTTTGAACTAGTTGTCAGTAACTGTGAGTACACTCAGATCTCAGGGATGAAGGATGGATAAATACTGTGCCACATCCAATCTGTGTTTATGTTTGTTTTTTCTGCTTTGTATCGATCTGATGAGTCTAGCCTTTTTCAACTGATTTTTATAGTTTGCTTTTATGTTGTGCTGTTAAACCACTTTCCCAGGATAGGGGAGGGTTGAGCGCTCAGAAAACATTTTTAACCCAGCAACATTCTTTATTTGCCTGTCCCAAGTCAGGAGCCTGTAGTTCAGTGCACGTGGTTGTCATTGGTTCATGTCTAGATCTGTCATATTTTTTTTTCGTAAATTGTTTAGTTATAAATTAGGCTGTTAGATTTCTCAATTGAACTGTTTCATATTTTTCATGTCCGTTCATTTTATAGCCATCTATACGGTATGGGTTTTTCTCATTGTTGAAGGCTGTACAGTTGCCTAAAATTGCTTACATCCACTTTATTTGAACTTTGGTGGATAGTTGTCTCATTGGCAATCATACCCCATCTCCTTACTTTTATACTAGGATGAAAGACAATGACGGGTGCCAAGTAAAGGCTATAACTCACCTAGCACTATGCGAGGCAAAAATGCTATGACAGCAACACGTTTGTGTTAGCTGAATAAAGTGAATAATACTAAAAAAATTATTAGGAAACGAAAAAATATATGGTTTTAATCAACCATTGGACTGGTAGGTGGATATTTAACATAATGCAATGAAATAACCTCCTATGTGAAACATATGGACTTAAAACAAGACTTCAATCTACAAGCCATTTCTACAATACCATAACCTGATTTCTTAACCATAATATGAAAAGCCAAACCCTATAGTGAATGTCTCATTGAGTGATAGAATATAATAACTATAGTTGAATATTTTCACAAATATATATATAGAAAGGAACAATATAAGGGAGCAACCATTTAACTTCAAGGTGGGGGGTATGGTTTTTTGTCGGAGTCAGAAAATTTTTTTTTGTCATCTGCTTGACCAGAATATTTTTTTTCATCAAATTGGGGATCATATTATTTTTTTAGAAAAAAACCATAACCCCCCCCCCCCCCTTGAATTTAAATGGTCCTTCCCTAAGAAGCAATGCCTGCCAAAACCTAGTAAATCTCTGTTTAGTAAATACTGATAATAGCAAGCAAATCTTCTTGTCTGTAATTTCTAACTGGGACGACTTTATCAATACATGTAGTCCAGTTCCCATTGGTAGTTGAAAGAAGAGAACCACAAATTTAAAGTACTTTAAAGCCATATATATATATAGAGACCTCTAGATGTTTACTGTTATATCAATAAGCCTTGTTGTCAGACATGTTATTTATAATACCTTTCTGTATCCTTATTTACATGTGCTTTTTAGTTTGTACAGAGATTATAACTTCAGTATACATGTATTTGTTGTCTTAGTATTATCACTTTTATATTTCAAATACATTTTATTTAAAATTCCTTTATGTGATAAACATATTCTAAACAGTAAATGCATAACAAAGTAAGTAGATGTATACACATGTATAGTACCAGAACTAACACCTAAATTATACTGACTCTTTAAGTTTTACATACAAACATGTACACATAATGTCAAACTAATAAATATTAATGCATGCATGATTGTCATCTGAGTATTAATACAAATTGAAAAGGTATTTCAAAATCAATTGTTTACAATTCTTTCTATGGTCAAATACAATCTAGGCCAATTATCATTTTATTGAACTTTTTCTCACACATGTACTTCAGCTGGTTATCTCTCAAAACTGATTTTTTTTCTTATACATCAAATTATGAGACATACAAGAAAAAACACATATTTTTATGTAAAAAAGCTCAAAAGCCAAAAGAATTCTAATATAAGAATTCTTTGCTGGATAAGTCTATATTTTTACTTTTGTTTAACATACTATGTCTAAACTTCTTCTCCATTGTTATATGAGCACCCAAAATAATTTTATAATCATGATTATATATATGTTTTCCACTTTTTGAAATGAAATTATTTCTAATCTTTTAAGCCTCACATATAATATTAGGGGGACATGTTTGTCCATCCCTGCCTTCATCCATCCTGTATCAGGTTTTAGGTTTGGTAAAAGGCATTACCTAGTTGTGGTCACATCAACTTGAAATTTTTTGGCGGGGCATGACATGCATTGGACACATATTTCTTTTTTTTGTTTAATTCCAAATTTGAAATCTAGATATATATACTATATGATAAACAAGCATGACTGAAAGCAGTGTTGAAAACTGATTATATGAGTGAATTTTTCAAGTCCAAGGACCATAACTCTGCACAAAATTATTAGACCAAAACAAAAATTTGAACTTGATCTGTAACTTGTCATGATAAAACTATATACCAATTATCAATCAATATCTTATAAGCATGATGAAAAATACATTAGATATGATTAATAGTTCTCTAGAATTAGATATGATGTAATACAGTATATATCTATTTCAAGTTATAATCAGATATAATTAATAGTTCCAAATATTTTTTTCTTTCATTTGTCACAAACTAATAAAGATTTGTAACTTATCTATAAAATGTCAACAACTTTTATCTACACAATGTAATGTATTGAAATATATACATTAATAAAAATAGATTATTATCTAATTAAAGGATTTCTCTTCATAATTTTTTTTGATATATATAGCATTCAGAAAATTAGTTTATACTAAATAACAAACAAGCCTGTCATAAAATTCTTCAAATAATTTTACAAAGAATGTCTTTTAAAAAATGAGTTATCTCCCTTTGTACAGAAATATGGTTTAACATAGTACTCTAACATTAGATATGGTCCAGAGTTATGGTCCATAACTCTGGACTAAATTATCAGACCGGAACAAAATTCGAACTTGATCTATAACTTGTCATGATAAAACTATATACCAAATATCAAATCAATGTCTTCAAGAACGAAGAAAAAAAGTGTGGAAAGCTGATTTGCCGGACTGACGGATGGACAAATGGACGGAGTGCAAACCTAAAGTCCCCTTCGACTTCGTCCGTAGGGGACTAATAACTGCTACCAAAAGTTTTAAATTCACATATTAATTTGACAGAATACTTCAAATTCAAAACAAGTTAGTATTACTATTAGTGGTATTTTATAGTGCGTAAAAAACATGAAAATGACAAAAACATTATAATGAAAAATTTCAGAAATATTGAAATTAAAAAGCGAATTGTCCGGGGAAAAACAATTTTGTTCAAATGACGAAACTACGACAAGCGAACTGCAAATTGTAGTCCTTGGCCTTGAGAAATATTGAAATTAAAATGCAGACTGACTAATTTTACTGGGGAAAATAATTAACCGGATAAGTGACCCATCCGATGGCGATAAGCGGATTAGCTGTAATCACAACTTTATAACACCTGTTGTAAATGTTAATTAGCTGAAGGTCATAAACTTGTCAGAAACATGTAGACAGGTAGAATTATAGTATTTTCATGCGAAAATATTTTTACACTTTCCAAATTTAAGTGACGAAATTGATTTGAAATACTTTCGTCATTTTGAAAACAGTTTCGTAAATTACGAAAGTGACGAGCGCTAGCAAAATCACTGGTATTAGTGGTATTTTATAGTGTGTAAAAAACAAGAAAAAGACAAAAACATTATAATGAAAAACAAAACATGCAAATGGGTATAAGTTTGATATACTACATTATACTGCTTACTATAACCTGCCATATATCTATAAATACATTATAAAAATCTACATCTGTAAATAAACAAGTTTGATGATTTTATTGCACATATAACTAAGCTTTTAGCACGGTGGATATACTGATTCTGCTCCCAACAGTCTATATTTATGCTCCTTGACCTTTGTACTTTGTGAAAATATTGTACAATACTCGCAGGGTTGATTTTAGATCTTGATTGACAACATCTTCTGGTCTGGCCTTTGGTCTCGGAAGTCCTGCATCCTGCATTAAATCGAATGCAAACTGTACATTATGCACCTTTTGATCAAACGTTGAGGCTGTTTGGTGGTAGTCATATAAAGGAACAAAATATCCTTCCAATAAACCCATCAATAAAACCAGGTAAACTCCATCGTGAAATTGTGCTTCTAAATCGGCAACTTCAAAGTTTATCTTCAATAACTGTTTGTTGACAAATGTAACCAAGGTTTTCTTTACAAGATTAAGTTTGTCGGGTGCATGGTCAAATAATGTATCAAAGGCATCTCGCTCAAATCTTGCACCAATGTCATCATTTATTGTAGTGATATCTTCTACTACTCTCTTGGTCTGGAGTATGCCATCCCTCTTTGTCACAACGATTAAGTTGACGGACACATTATCAGGCATTCTAATTGGTGCTCTATAATGTCTTGCTAAAGTAACTAACAAATGAAGAATGGCGACGAGATTCTTTGAATGAACTTTATCAACACTCCATCTGACTTGATTCCATTGTAACTGTAACAGTCGATTTATTACTGAGAGTATAATCTGTAACTTCTGTTTCTGTCCCTGTTCTGACTGGGTTACTTCTGGTACCTAAAATAAAAGCAAGAAGTTAATGGGATGGAGTGAAAAAATACTTATAAAGATTTATAGCTACTACAAATGACAATATCAGTAAAGTGTGTTTGTAGAAAGATGAAACTAGACTGAAACAAAAGTTTTTCATCTCCCAAGGATATGGAAAGGAAGTGGTTCTGAATAAATATTAAAATAAAGATATCACCATGTCATAACAGTTTTGTGTAATATTCAAAATAATGTTTGACCTGTTGGTAGTTTTCTTATTTTAATATTTGTAACTGCTCTCATTTTACGGATTATATGTTGACTAGTTTACATACTTCCAAAAGCTGTTATTTCATACATGTGTAATCAAATAATTAATCATATGATTGATATTTTAGTTTTGGAGAACATAATTTATTCATAAGTTGTAATTGGCTTTGAAATACATGTAACTCTTAGTGAACATGAGTACTCTTTAATCAGTAATTTGGGTCTTTTTGTTAGTTGGTTTTTGAGTCAAGCCATTTTAAAGACCAAACAGTTTATTCAGTTCTACCAGTGATTTTTTCTTTAAATTTTGTGTCAAGGTATTTCATGATTTTGGAAACAAAATGTTATGAAAAATTATGGGGGTCACCAACTTCGTTTTGTCACTATGGCAACCTCAGTTTCATGTTTTCCCCCCAATATGAACAACATATGGTTGTCATTTAAAAATTCAAATAATATAATAATATTGAACCGACAAGAATAATTCTTTTTTAAAATTGTTCAAAATCACCTTCTACTTAACTTTTTAAAAAAGGAAAGTTTATTTTTGCTAAAAGATGACACTGACTAGATTCTAGACTATTGGACAGTTGGACTATTAGACTTTAGAAGTGTTTTTGTTTTTGCTCGTTGCTTTCAGAAGTTTGCATCAGCACACTTTTCAGTCTACTCTTTCGCCAATGTAATGTTGACGGATGGACAGAAGCATCGACTGATTACGGTATACTAGTCAAACTCCCCAATTATAACGGAAGAATAAAAAGTATTTTTCACTATCTCTTTGTGGCGCTCATTCCCAAATTTCTTGACAAAACGTATTTTGACGCGTATGTCATAGTGGATTCCGTGAAATACACAAAATGGGATGTTCTAATCTGCCACTTTTTGCGAAGATGGAAACGTCATAGAACTTTTATGCCACGATCAAGTTGCGTTAGCTATTGCACACAAACAATAGGCTGTTTGGTCTTTAAACTAATTTCTACAGTATCTTCTTGTGTTGTGTTCTTTTACAACTGTCACTAGTTAGGGGGAAGGTTAAATGAGTCATGGTCATTGAGATTCAGAATAGAAGTCACTACAAACCAGTAAAAGTCTGAAATGGCCTATATCTGTACTCGACTGTACTGATTTTTACTCGACCAGTCTGAATTGGTCTGAAATTTACTTGATAATACTCGACTGTAGTCTGAACCATACTTAACAGTCTGAACTTGTACTCGACCAGTACTTAACCATTTTATACACGTCTGAACCATGCTCGACCTAGTCTGAACCATACTCGACCTAGTCTGAACCATACTCGACCAAGTCTTAACCAACCTAGACCTATTTTTTGTATTTATCTATTGTATTTCATCAATTTAGGAACTGTTTTTAACAACAGCTATTTCCCCTGGCTAGAAATTTGAACAACAATTTGAAATTAAAAATGTATTCAATATAGCATTGAAACCAAAATTTCACAATAAACATAATATAACTTCAACACCATATTCATCAACACTTATATACATACATATATATCACCTTTAAAATAAAAATAAAACAAGCTGATCAAATAATCTCAAAACTGAATTGTGACTAATATTTTCAATGTTATTCAAAAATTTTTGAATGTTTCAGATATATTTTATGGTTACTGGACAATTTTCATCACTAAATTAAGCCTAATATAGATTTATGGTGTCAGTTGAGTTTAGTAAATAATGCAGTGAACATTTTTTTTTATTAAAATATATATAAAATAGCATATAAAGCAACTTGATAAATTTAAAAAATGACACCTTTGTTTTGTTAAACCAAGAATTTAATATAATCATGATAATAGAACTTCCATAGTAATCCTGTGATAAACTTTTAAAAAAGGAAATGTGTTCCAAAGTTACAGTAAAAATTTATTTCAATTAAATTTAAATAATTTTTGTCAAAATTAAAGACATGGCATGCAAGAAGCACTTTAATAAGGTTTAATTACCTCAGTACATGTATGTTTTACAGGTAAAAAGAAAGCCCTATTTTTCTTAAACTCGTGTATTACTTATCTAGTGAATTCATAAAGGCCTTGTGATTTAAGTTTCACAGGATGTTGCAATTTTGAATGAATGTTATTTAGAATTTAATACTCTCTGACCAGGTGTGATCTTTTTCATGAGTTTGCCCCAAGCAGGAGGTATTACTTTATACTTCACCACTAATCAGAAGAACAATTTTATTAATTTCTTTAATTTTTATCCCTTTTTGATATATATATTGTATATAATATATCCCAAATTATAATAATAGATATATTTCTAAAATAAGGTAAAACAGTTTCAGTGATTTTGTTGGCTGTTGTTACCTCATTAAAAGGTAATTATATAACTATTGTACATTTTTTGTATGTAACCATGAAACCTATGTAGTTTTTATTTAGGAATTTAGGAAAATTAATTAAAAAAAAACATGCCAAACAAGAAGCACCTTAATAAGGTTTAATTACCCTCAGTATAGGTGTGGTTTTTAGGTAAAAGAAAATCTTTTTTTAACAAAACTCTAAAACTTTAAAATTAATATATTTAAATTATTACATAAGATAATTTGATTTAACTATCTCTATTTGAAAAATCTGAGAATCATGTAAGAATGTAAAAATCTGTTTTTATAATATATCTTTATTTTATTGTGGCTGTTGTCATGTCAATTAAAAAGAAATTTATTTTAACAGTTAAAATTTAGAAAAAGTAGAGGTTATTTGGTCAAGTATGGTTCAGATTGGTCGAGTATTGTTCAGACCTTTGGTCGAGTATGGTTTAGACTGAAAAAAATAGGTCGGGAATGGGTTAAGACTGTTTCAGACTGGTCGAGTAATAGTTCAGACTATTTTCAATGGCAAAGATAAGGGTCAAGTACAAATCAGTACAGTCGAGTATGGTTAAGACTGGGGTCGAGTAATGTCGAGTAAAATTAAGACCAATTCAGACTGGTCGAGTAAAAATCAGTACAGTCGAGTACAGATATAGGCCATTTCAGACTTTAACTGGTTTGTAGTGAGTTTTTACACTCATATGCAAATTTTTCTGCCAAGCTAAAACATTTGACATCATAAATTCAAAGTGTTTGTTGCATGACTTCAGCCAGAAGATTGTTTGGAGACAGGGATAGGGTCATTTGCAGACAATTCAGCTAAATAGATAGAATTTATAGTGATTTGGGTATTTGTGAGACTTGTCCCAAGAATTTGAGGCACTTGAACTTTTGACATCATACACATCCCTTTTCCTTTGTGGCGTCCATCAATTTCTATTGTGACGTCAATATTTTAGGGGAATGTCTGTGATGTCTAGTAATGGCGGAGAAATAATGCTAATTTAATACATTTTGTATACATCAATAAAGATAATTATGTCTTAGTTACATTTGTCTTAAAACATAGCTGTAATAGAACATTCAATAATTCAATCTAACCTAACAAAGGTGAAATAACCAGGTTACTCATTGTACTTGTATTTTTCATGTACCTGAACTCTTATATCAGCCAATTTTTCTATCAATTTTTGTAGAATTTGACCATCAAATAAATCTTCAAGAATGTCTTTCACTATGATTCTGTCATCTGCCAATACGTCGTTTATCCAATCAAGCAATATCTTAATTAACTCTTGTACTTTAGGGTCTTCTTTTGAAGTTGGTTCAATCATGGACCTTTCTTCCAACTCATCCAGTAAATAACCCTCTGGACCAACGTCTGGAATTGTAGGACTTGTAGGAGATTCAATAGCAAGTTTGCCTTCTTCTTCTAAAATACTTGCTTCTTTAGCTTTCTTCTTGCGACCAATCGTCCCAATTTTATCAAGGAATGATTCGTCCTTTTTCTTTGGCGTTCCAACGGTCGCAGGATTGGGTGAGGTTGCCATTTTCACAACAAAAATCCAACCGGAAGTACTCACATTCCAGTGATGGGTGCGTTTAAAGATACATCTATAATATTCAAGCATTTGGATAAAGTCTATCTCTTGTCAATATTTTCACAAATTGTAAGTGATTATTGAAATTGGTGTTTAGAATAACATTAACATACAAGAAATATTACTGTAAACATAGTGTACAAAAATCAAATAATAAAATTTTATGTCAAAAACTATGTTCACCTGAGAATACTATTAGATCACTGAAGATTTGTATACGGTAAGAGGCTGTTTGGTAGTCATATACAGGAACAAAATATCCTTCCAATAAACCCATCAATATAACCAGGTAAACTCCATCCTGCAATTGGGCTTCTAAATTCTAGATCTACTTATGGGATCTTACAGGTATATAACCTGGGTTTATTAAACCAAGGATTTATCAATATCTGTTTTGAACTGCTTTTTATTTCTTTGTATGTATACTTGATGATACCCTTCTTTGATATCACCGATGTATTAATATGAGTGTAAATATATTTGTACAATTACAAAAATACCAAACTTCAAGATATATTTCGACAAAATTACGGTCAATCGTCCAAACACGCTGCTTATCATTAGGGGAAATTATAACATTAAATTCGGTCTGGTAGTAGTATTTGTTCCCTGGATTTTGTTTCCTAGATAATGAAGTTTATGACCTTAATTCAACTTCTATTGAAAAATTATTAGTCTCGAGAAAAACTGTCCAAGGAAATAAACCCATAGCTAGTAAAATATGCACCCGTTTCTGGCACTTATTTTCCCACGAAATTTGTCCTTAATATTAATTCAAATTTGTAAAATTACTTACACAAAGTCATGAATATGACAGATTTTTCTTCCATTCGTTTCGTAGGTAAAGTCTTATGTTTGATTTGTCAGTTTTTATAAACTTCCCCTGCCTTTTTTAATTTTCCTTGGAGTCCGATATTTTTTTTAATTCCTTTTTTTTTCTTTATTATCATTTCGATGGTAAAAACAAAAAATTGTAGTCACAAGTTATATGCATCTTAAAAGGTTGTGATTTCCTATGAAAAAAGTCCAGTGTTATTAAAAATAACACTTGCATTTAAATAGACAGTGAAAGAAAAATGTACAACTGCATGTTAAAAAAATATTGTAGCTTAACAATACAAGCATTCCATTGTTTACATGTGAATGATTTTTTTCAGTACAAAGAACTTTCCTGGGAAAATAAAGGGCGATTAGGTGTGGGGCGATTTGCCAGTGGGGCGATTTGTCATGGATTCTTATGTTGGTCTGCCCAGACTCATTTTACCAGGACTAATCTATATCTTACAAAATCATCACAGGAGATCCTTAGTTTGCAATATTGACTCTCATAGCCATAAATTAAAACAGACCCTTTCAAAAAACCTCCCAACTTTGTGGCATTTATTTCAGTATCTGATAACTAGTAATCTTGTATTCAGCATCCCCAATCTAACGGTGGCTGTGTATTTATACATCCCACATCTTTTATTTGGCACAAAAGCCTGCTTTCGTTGATTCCATTTGGTACAATTGTTTTTACTTTTCTTATCCAAAATCTTTTCCTATACCTTTAAAATTTCTTTTCTCTGAACCAAGCAATGTTTTGGTCTATGATAGTGATAGTCAGTTGGTTGAGATCTGCCTTTGTGTGATCGAGAGATCTCAAATGAAGACTGACGGAGAGATCTAGCTTACGCTTGAGGTAAATTGGGTGGGTCGATAGAATAATAATTTTCCAAAATGTAGTTTATATCGTATTTTTTTTCTCGAAAACCTTCTAAAAAATATGGATCACAGGGCTTTTTTCACGCTGTAGTTTGTGTAAAATTGCCAGTCACAGTTTTGTTTTGATTATGCATGGAAAACCCAATTGTGTGTGATAAAAAGAAAACTAAACGATCGAATTTTAAGATAAGATATGAGAAGACAGCTCTGTTTGTATATATGCTTTCAGAAAAGAAAAAGAAAAATTGGGTCACGGAACTCGTTTTATTGCTACATATAAAACAGGTAAATTCATTACACATTCCTTTAAAAAAGTTACTTTATCTGAGTTATCTCCCCTTATATGGCGAAGTTGAACAAAAATGAATCAAACAAAAAATACTCTGTTTTCTAAAACAGTTGTCAATATATGATAAAACAAATAATTTTCTGCATTAACATAGAAAGTCTTGCAATATGAATTACATTCTACACTCGAAATTTGCACATTTCATTAAAGATCAAGACCAATTGTTTTCTGCTATTCTGCAATCCAAGATGGAGAAAGACACCCGAGCTACAGTAATATATAAATCCTAGATAAAATATAAAAACTGCTTTTATAACACTCATTAGCGTGTTAAAGTTACATTCTTAGGCATTAAGCCGATATATAGTGTAGTGATATTGAACGGTTCTTAACAAACTCGTGTAATCTCCCTTTGAACAGCTTCTTTGGCAAGTTTTGTCGTATGTCTAAAAGATGTTTACAAAAGGAATAGATTAAAAGAACAGACATGACAGTCACGAAAAGCTTACAACTTTGTTGAACCACAGATTTTTTCTTATTTTCAATAACGGGTTATTTGTGCTACAAGTACCTATAGGTGTTTATTCAAACGCATCCTAACCCTCAATCAAGACGTGTGCCCAAATATAGCATATTGAGAAAGATGCATTAGGAAGTTTTTTAAAGAGATTTTCTGATAGATAACATCTTAAATTCGCAGATAGTTGCATAATCTTCAAATATGTGTTTAAATATTCACGTTGTGAAAAAAAGTGGCTGTGAACCCGGAAATATTTTTCAGTCCGTGTATGTTTTGTATTTTATTGTAGTTGGTCACTCAAAAGTTTTATCTCTTTTGTCAACAGAACAGTTTGTCCTGAAAATCGTACAAAGTTAGAAATTTACCGTTTAGGATGCATTTTTTTTTTTCGTATTTTTAATGTCAGTGAGAAAGACATCTTGTATTGTTGAATTCACAGAATCCGTTATATTCATCTCTGTCTGATCGTTACTGACGTTACTCGTTAGTTCAAGCCACGAGAATTCTAAGAACGCATATACGTTATAAAAAAAAAGATTCATACTTGAAGTGCATGCTATGATGTTCATGTCCAGTTTTGTACTATGGACAGCCATTAGTTTATATTACTTCAAGGCTTTCGTTTACAGAAAATATTTTTTTCGCCCCAAAAAAATGTTGATCAAATGACATGAATGACTTTTAAATTTAAGTTTGAACATCATATTTTTAGTTTTGTCCTAGCAGAGGACAAATGGATGAAAGGCTCAAACTGCTTTATGACAAAATAGGAAATATTTGGAAATCCCCATGTTCTGCCAGGTAAAACTTGGCAATATAATATACTGGCATGATTCTTTTGTATTTAAAGAAGCAAAATTCTGAGGATTTAGAAATCAATTACAAATGCAACACATGAATGATATGAAAGAAGACAATAATTCTAAAATAGGTTTGATCAGAGATATATATACAGGTTTGATTTGCACAAAATTTGACACAATATGTTGAATGTAATAACATAACACTGAATTCTAATGACCTGAATAACGATCAGACAGGAATGATATTTTGGTCTGACTGTGATCTGGTTAATTATATTGTCTGATGTGATTGTAAACATATCAGGGTCTCTAAAAAGCTTATTCCAAACATATTTAGTTTGAGTGGATTCTATTTCAGTGTAACAATGTAATCTACATTCACATACACAAAAAAATGTACATTGCTGCAATAATGCAGATTGTTTTTAATGTACATATTTTCTCAACCCAAAAGCAAAAAGGTTAAACTGCATCATTTGGTCAAAGAACCTGAAATCAGAGACTTAGAATCCAATTTGTATCCCTGTAATTCATGGTTTTCATAGAATTTCTTTACATACATGTATTTACCTAGATTTTGTTTGCCATAATGATAACTTTAGATACAAAAGTTAAAACTACTTGGATTTGTTCATCAATTATATGGTTGAGAAGTGAAAAATGGTTTTTAAATTTCATTGAGATTGTTAATATTTTACAATAGAAATATTTTTTCAAAAACATGAAAAATAAAACTTGGAAGGAAAAAAGCTGAAAAACTTTTTGAGTAGTATCCAAAAAAAACTAGTTGAAAGAATTAAATACAAATGCAGTAACTAATTATGTCTTAGTCGAACAATTCTGTTTACCAAATCCGTATGACTTAATTGAGATGTGTGGTAATGTTAATGAGACAGCAACGTAACATCCAATCTTTAGAAAAAATTCATGTCAAGAACAGCGAGTTATACAATGTAATATCTGTAACTATACAACATGATAAATTTCCATGTGTACAAATGGAAATTATTTACTGGAAATTTTAAATAACTTCAAATCTCATTCAGGCAACCAAGGGAATTTGCAGGTCACATTTTGTGTATGCAAGTGATCTAAAATGTATTCAGAGAAGCAAACTTGCAGTTCATTTGTTTATATAGGGAAGTGCTCTAAATATTTATGCAATATGTAATATTATGTTGAACTAATTAGTGTGCTGAGTCATCAGATATATGTCCGTCTCATGACACCATAAACATTGTATGCCTTAACTATGAATCTTGTTTTAGGGAAGCTGAATATATATTCCTACCAATTTTTATATATAATACTCCTTAAAATGATTTAAATTCCTAACCTTAAAACTAATTTATTGATGTTTTCTGTATTCTAAAAGAAATTTACAAAAATTACCTCCCTTAAAATCTCAATGCGACTTTAGTGAGAATAGTTTTATACTCAATAAAGAAAAGGAGGGGCTTATAATAATGCTTATGTCCTTCTGTTTGTTCTTTCATCTCTCTTAGCTTAAGTTCTACATTTATGTCTCATATATAAATGGTAGTTACATTCTAATACACTCATGACACTGGATTGATTTTAGTTGTATTTTGTGTTTATGACTTAGGATATACATGAAGTACTACACATTCTGGACTTTAATAGGATATACATTGTAGTACTACCATGACTACACATTTTGGAAAATTTAAGGGATTACAACCTTCGTTTTAATGTTTGAGTGACTTATGTTAAATATTGCATTGTTCATAAAGATTTGGAAATTGGACATGTGCAAATTCTAATCACCAATTTCAGACACCAAACTATGTGAATATGTTTCATTTGCAGTGTTCAGAATTAATGTCTTTTATCTATTTGTAGAGTGTTGAATATGTCAGAAACCCACCAGTAGAGTAAATACTTACCTATACTATTTGCCATGGCAACAGAAATGATGATGGACTCTAGTGATTTAGCAACTTCTGATTCACCGAAGCATAAACAACCAACAGCACCCAGATCCTGGGACATGCTACGTCATGATATCAAGCAGAAAAGAAAACTTTTGTTGACACTAGCCAGCAGAGTACCCAGTAGCTTCACCTTTAGAACTGTGGACACTCAACTTGGACCCCATACCCGACTTTATTTCCTGGGAATTCCACAGAATTGTAGAGAGAACACGCTTTTATATGTAGATATACCAAAGGCAACAACAGAAATTGTCCCAGGATTGCAATGGAAAAATCTTCTTGATTCTTTCCAGGTATTGTAATATTTAGAATTTACCAATTTATACAATTTTCTTTTATATCTACATCTATCATATGTATTATAAAAATAGTTAACAGATTTTAATAACTTTCACTAAACACATTGTTAAGGGCCAATAACTAAAAATACTATATCATGTATATCTTATTAAAGGAACTCAATTATGATTAAAAAGATATATAGTGTCATTGAGACCCCAACTCTAAAACACAATAAAACCAGAAGAAGACATCTAGAGGACAGCATAAATACAGTCTTCAAGAATAATATATCATACATGTATGAGAGAATAAATACAGTCTTCAAGAATAATATATCATACATGTATGAGAGAATAAATACAGTTTTCAAGAATAATATATCATACATGTATGAGAGAATAAATACAGTCTTCAAGAATAATGTATCATACGTGTATGAGAGAATAAATACAGTCTTCAAGATTAAAATACACCTGTGACGTAAATCTTTTGTTCAAACTCTCCATTATTTTTCAGGAATGGAGAGTTATTTTTTATTGTTCGTCTTCATTCATCTGGACGTTTTGCCCTTTGGATATTTCCATGGGCACTTTCTTAAAAAGTGTTCACCCATGGGAATAATTCTAGAGGACGAAACGCGATACTAAGTTGAATGAAAATGAAATCTTACTAAAACGACTGATACTGGATTTTTTAAAAATTGGGATTGTAGTACTACAATGAACACTAAATATCTCATTATTAACAAACAGCTTTTATTTGCGAGTCGTAATTCCATCTTGTAAAATATAGTATCGTATTCACTAAATTCAACAATATAATCCACAATTTGTTTTCCGATGCAAATCATGGCTGAATTTTTGTCATGGATAATATCCAAGTGGGTAAACATGAATATTTTCCATTGAGTCCCATTCCTCTTCTGTGCATCTACAAAATAGCAAATGTGTTAACTGTGTGTGAGTCAGTGAATTCTATTGTGATATTGAACACATTAACATTATTCAATAATGAAAGTAAGAGAAAATATATTTCACATAAAGATTTGATTTTAACTTTACCGTTTAAGATATCATTTCCTTGAAGTATTTTGATTTTGCACAGCAAAAATCGTTTGTTGTATTTTTATATATATATAAATTAAAAACACAAAAATTACTCGGATTGTTTCTACATTAATATTGTGGTTTTATAAAATAAAAAATCCAAGAAACTGTAATGGTCAAAATGGCGTATTCGGTATTTTATTTGATTGTTCGTTGTTTAAAAAAATTTAAATATAGTACTTATGAATAAAATTTGAGAGGGTATGGATAACATTTGAATAAGGCTTGTATAAAATATTGGGCGGGGTTTTTAATCAATGTTCAACAGAAACGCGTAACATAATCGCATTCATTCACTGTTGTTATATGTCCAGTGGCAAATATAACAGTTATATCGACAGTGCAAATAAACGGTGTTAATCTTGAAATAAATGTTTAAATGAAATTAAAAGGTAGACTGTTGTCTAATTAAGTTAAATACATATAAAACGGAATCCAGAAATGTTTTTAATCATGCGGATTTTTGTTTCTAAAACTTTTTGCTTCCTTTCGGATAATAGGAAAGAATGAAACATACTTTCAGTTTGCTTGTATTGCTATTGCTTGTGTTAAATATTGGGCGGGGTTTTTAATCAATTTTCAACAGAAACGCGTAACATAATCGAATTCATTCACTTTTGTTATATGTCCAGTGGCAAATATAACAGTTATATCGATAGTTCAAATAAACGGCGTTAATCTTGAAATAAATGTTTAAATGAAATTAAAAGATAGACTGTTGTCCACTTAAGTTAAATACATACAAAACAGAATCCAGGAATGTTTTTAATCATGCGGATTTTTGTTTCTAAAACTTTTAGCTTCCTTTCTGATAATAGGGAAGAATGAAACATACTTTCAGTTTGCTTGTATTGCTATTTAAAAAAAATGCATACAAGTTTTGTTCGTTGTAATTAGCAAAGGGAAGACAAAATGTTGTGTTGTGCATGAAATACTGTTTTCTTGTTTTTTTCATTTTATTTCATCGAATAAAATGACTTGAAATATAGAATCATTTTGTTTTCGATATGAGTTTAAATCGAGCACACCGTTTTTAGTTAAATAACCTATACTAGAGTGTTACATACCTGGAAATTCATTCTAGTTGTACCATTTCACTTTTCTCAGACGATTCTACATCCAATATTTATCAAACCAAAAACACATATAATCCATTAACATATATGCATAAATACTAGTTTTTTTTTTTACTCTCCCGAAATACCACTTAAAGACACAAAAAATATCCATTCAATCCCACCACAAGAAAGACGTGCGTATCCAATGACTTTAAACATAGATCTGAATGAACTTGATTCAAGATATTTTTATAGTAATTATTCTACTGTTCATAAATACTTCGTTAAGTGAGTAGATGGTCAGCTTGATCTTAAATTTTGCCTGCGGATTATTGGGTACAACACGGGGAAAATGACCAGAAAACCATTACAAAATTAAATAAAATTCTTTAAAATGATATAATCTGAAGATTCGTTTTTAATATTTTAGGTGTATTTTAAGTTAGCGAAAGTCCAAATAACTGTCCATTCCTGGGAAATAATGGGAGTCGGCCCTACGGGCCTCCGCTCCATTATTTCCCAGGAATGGACAGTTATTTGGACTTTCTCTATAACATAATATATCATGCATGTATGAGAGAATAAATACAGTCTTCAAGAATAATGTATCATACATTGTACATGTATGAGAGAATAAATACAGTCTTCAAGAATAATATATCATGCATGTATGAGAGAATAAATACAGTCTTTAAGAATACTGTAAATTCAGAAATTATTGCGTGCATTTATATTTGCAATTTTTGAAGAATGGACAAAAATCAGAGATTAATTATTGCGCTTTCAGGAAAAGCTGTATACAGATGTATGTATCAGATATCAGAATATGAGTTCTTATTATTGCGATGCTCAACCAATCACATTATTGGCATTAATTAAAACCTCACAATAATTTCTGAATTTACAGCAATACAGTCTTCAAGAATACTATATCATACATGTATGAGAGAATACTAATTTATTTTTAAAAGACATAAAACACTGAGGTATAAACAGATGATCACTGATGAGAATCTTGGCTTGGGACAGGTACTTAACTTATGGTTGAGTTAACTAGTTTATCTCAAACAGCAGAATAACACAAGGTCCATTGAATGTGCTGTGAAACAGTTCAGGAAAAAACACCAACACCTCTATATACATGATATATCTGTTTTACAGACTACAAAAACACCGGTAGATATAAAACAATAATACTGAATCACAATATGCTCACAACTACTGAAATCAAGCACAAAGTAATAATCTGCTGATATAGAAATCATATCTTACCTTTTTCAGTAATCTATAAAACTGTGCTCTCAACCTAATATTTAATGTTTGATGTGTATGTTTATTTTAATAGGCATCTTTAAGTAATGGTCAACTTTCCAGAGAAGAGCAGTTGTTACGTGAAAGAAAAAGACTAGGAACATATGGTGTAACATCATATGACATGTCTGATGGGAAGTTTGTATTCCCAGCATGCAATAGTCTGTTTACATGTATAGATTCAAATGTATTGGTGAGTTGTATTCTAAAGCTAGCTTGGATATATATATATATATTGTTGTCTGAAGACATGATTTTAAAAAATTGAGGATTTGATGAAACATTGACGTCACATCCCTGCCTGCATACTTACCTGAAACACTTTCAAAATCAGAAACTTATGAATTTCCTAGGCCTGTATTAATTGAATCAAACAATACACCAGAATTTTACTATTATTTTCTCTCTGTCTCATAAATTGAATATGTGTCATGAAGTTTGAATTCAGATCTCAGGTGAAATTTATTTCAAACAGCTGATAGTGATATGTAGCAATTAAGTTTAAATTTGATTCATGAATTAATGGGTTAGAAAGAAGTGAAATTAAAATAGTTTCCAATAGATTTAATAGATTTTGTAATATTGTATGAACTTGCATGTCAACCTTCTGTGTTATCATAGCAAGATAACTTTTTCCGGTGGTGTATAAAAACAATACAAAATTGTATTAATTCAAAATACACTGCATATGTTGAATTCATTGACAACTTGTCAAATATGAAGGGGTTAAGCTTACTATATTTTTTTATGCTAACAAATTATTGAAGGCTCTATGGAGTGTTCTAGAGGATTAATGAGGATAGAAATGTGTTGTCGGGTTCCTTTCATATTCATATAACTCTCTTCTTCCAATATTCATATTTTATATATTTTTTTGTATAGTCAGAAGAAACAGTATTACCATTATTTATCAATACCAGCACGACAGGAGCCAGGCTAGATCCTAAACTGTGTCCTAAGAATACTGACTTAGTAGCTTTTGTACATTGTAATGATATTTGGGTGACTAACACAGTTACACATCAAGAATGCCGACTTACATTTGCACACAAAGGTAAATATTGTTGTTTCTTCTGCATTATAAATGAATAAGAAAATCAAAAGTTCTCTCATACTATGTTATTGAAATTCCTGTAGAGAATGCAAACTTTTTAATTTGAAAATGAACAATAAAGAGTTGATTGCTACTAAAGATTTTATAATCAATTACATATAGTGCATATAATACACTTTTACACAAGGGACATAATGTTTAAGTCCATTCATTTCCAGTCTTTAGAGCATTGATTAACTAGGCATACAGAGCAAGCAATAAGACCCAGGGTAAGGAATTTTGTAAGGAAATGAATAAGTCTTACCTGGTATGATTTCTGTCAACTATTAGCACACCTTTGTATTGTTGAATGACAGTAGACTTTATGCTTGTGATACATATACATCATTATTGCAATCAAACAAAAAAGTGCATAGTTGCAAACCAATTTAAGTAAAACCAACTTCAAAACAATCCAGTTAGAATGACAGCTGTTAGTTTTTAGGCTCTCAGATAAGCATTTCTCAGCTGACTGTCAAATATGACTGTTCTAGAACCATGCCAAATACCCATTCGCTAACAAATCTTGTAAGATTAAAATAAAAGAAAGACTTCATTGTCAATACAAATGCATGTGTGGTCTATGCCAATTTAAGAGTGGTCCTGTTCTTTCAAAATGGTTGAGACCTTATTTCCACTGATGTAATTTTTTATGGATTTTAGCACATTGATCTGTTTTTTACATTTAGGTTTAAGTAGTCTGTCTGCTGACCCTATGACAGCAGGTGTTCCATCCTTTGTTGTGCAGGAAGAGTTTGACAGGTATACAGGTTATTGGTGGGAACCAGATACCAAAAAATCAAACCATTATAGAATTTTATATGAGGAAGTTGATGAATCAGAAGTAGAAATTCTCAGTATTTTCTCTCCATCTGATGTCAAAGGTGTTGATGAATACAGGTATCCCAGGGCAGGTTTGTATGATTTTTTTTAAGCCAGTTTCTAATTTTAAGATGAAACAAATAATAAATACGTCAAAAGGAAAGACCAAAGTTATCTAGAAAATAATAATCAATGGATCAGTTGAACAAGTTAATTGAATGATAAAATTTTGAGTACGAATAAAAACTAAAATTTGATATAAATTTTAATTGAAACAGGATGCAGTCATTCTTATGATAAAGCAGTATATACATATATATTTAAAGTTTATCCAATAATGTAAGCACCAGTTTTATTCGTGAATGAAAAATCCTGAGAATGCCGAATGGTAATATCCATAGCATTGATAATCTGTGCTTCCTCTGTTTTGAAAGTAGATTCTGTCTCCTTTGTTTAAGACCAAAATTGCATGAACTCTGCTACTGTCTGCATCCATTTCGTTGGTCCAACCATGATTTATCAACATGTCATTCTTGAAGAGGGAAGCAGCGCTTGTCATCAGTAGACCAAAGAGTACCCATCACTTGGTATAGTCCCATCCTTGGGACAATAAAAACACCAGTATCTGGGCTGTACCCATTCCCAATATTAGTCCACACATGCTCAAACTTTAGTATCTCATATGGATCTGAATATGTGTAGGGTTGTCTTACTACGATGCGTGGAAAGCAGGTTTAATTTCATCTGAAATAAATTTTAATATCTGTAATAATCAGACTTTCTATCTCAGGGACTAAACTTAAGTAACCTAATTGCCCATATTATTATTTACTTTGAGTATTTTTTATTAGTATAAAAATTGGTTGGGCACCTGAAATTACAACTGGGCACATGAAAAAAATATTTTGGGGACCTAGCTGGCCCCTGGAGAAAACAAGTTGAATTTAGTCCCTGCTGACTTAGGTTATCTTGTACATCCATCATTTCATGTTTTGGTCAGTGTTTATAACTTGTTAATTTTTTTAGTACACAAGTATGGAATTGTTTATAAGTTTTATGCCTTGTGGTTTTCGTAAATTTTACATTTTTCATATCTGGGTCTTTTATAGCTTGCTACGTGGTTTGTTTTTTTCTCATTGTTTAACGCTGTACGGTAACCTATAATTGTTAATCTATAACATCTATGTAATTCTGTAGTTAGTGGTTGTCTCATTGGCAATCATACCACATCTCCTTATTTTATATATGGTAATAGATTGAAATATTACAAACCAAAATAAAATCTTTAAATAAATGTTAATAGTCTTTTCAAATTGTACTCACTGTTAGATCCACACTCAGTGTTTATCCTGTCTGCATCACAAGTGACAACGACAGCAAATAGATAGGTCAACCAAATTTTAAGCATGGCTTTACAGTGTTATAAGATGTTTTTAAACAAATTTCTGATTGATACATCCTTATTAACTAGGTTTATTTATACATGAAGAACATTGTCCTGTTGAATTTCCTTGTAGGAAGTGTTTTCTTTCATAGGTTGTTTATCATCATCATTTAACCTTGACCGTAGTAGATAAATATGTACAACGATGTATCTTGAATATACCATCAGTGTTGTATGTTATTGCAGAGGATCTACCTTTAATAAAAAGTGTGCCATACATTTTTTATAAATACATCGGTGGTGTAGATAGAGAAAACTTAAACCAATAACTATTTGTTACTACATTTACTGAGCTTTGATGTGTAGAATACAAAATACCAGATATTTATCGAAAAAAGTTTAAAACAATATAATTTTTTACATGCATTTAACATTCTTATATCACTGACAAAAAGGTTCAATGAAGAACAATTTTTTTTATAGCCTTGTATGTAGACATTGCCAAAACCACAAAATCAAAGTTCCATGAAATAACATTTTTCTTATGAAGTAAAAGAATCCTCAGTTACTGTAGTAAAGACTTGTGATTTTTATAAAGTGTTTGTATTTTCAATTGTTTGATAGATTTTGGTTATGTTTTTGTAGGTACTATTAATGCCAGGAGTTCATTAAAACTAGTGGAGTTTGTAATTGGAGAAGATGATCAGGTAAATGTATATGACACTTTTGAAATTCAATATTCTAATCTTGAAATGGTACATCTCATTTCCATGAAGATTATTTGGCCCTGCCCCCTCAGTCATGATCTATTGACTTTGAAACTTTTGCTTAGTTTAAATGTATTAGTTTGTGATTAGGTCAATTTATGGGGAACCACTAGTGGTAGGTCAGTGATATTTGGTATGCAGTTGTATTAGCATTGGTACATTTCATTTCCGTGGAGATTGTTTAACAATGTACCTTCAGTCAAGGTTCGTTTACTTCAAATATTTGCATAATTTATATGTTAAAGTATTGCTATTTTAATTTCAACATTTTTATTATCAAAATTACAAAAAGGCGAGACATATCTCTGTGTTAACAGTTTATTTTTCTTCATATACATGTTTAAGGACTATTATTCGATAAGTATAGACAATTTTTCAATATAAGAGCAAATATTACTGCTTTTAACCAACAAAAAAATGGTCTTTGCGTTCAAGGTGAATACTGTTTGTCCTAAAATTCTGTAAAATATTATTTGAACAAAATTTTTGTATAGCCATCAAACAGAAGAGGTAAAATAGTACTGAACCCTTGATTTTCATGAAGTCAAACTACTAATCCAATTTTATTCTCAAGCATGATGATTTTATTTGTATTTTCTATTTGTGAATTTTGTTATTTTTGTGAAACAAGGGATGTCATCACAAAGTAATATAGCTGTCATTGGATGACCCCACCTATCTCCAGTTGAGTGCAATCCATGTGTAGTATTTATGTTTAAATGAAATAGCTCTTACTTATCAAGTATACATATTTATAGTTTATGAACTTTTACTTTTTCTTTTCTTGATTTTAGTATGGGATTGTTAATCGTACATTTTAGGTAAATATATTTATTAATGTATTAAACTTTTCAATACTTCTGTAAAAACATTTGTTTTTAATTGCAGATACAAGATAATATTATAGAAAAACAGTTATATGAACCATTATGTACATTCTTCCCATGGATGGAGTACATAGTAAGGACAGGCTGGACACCTGATTGTAAATAGTAAGTTAGTACATAGTTAGGGCAGGCTGGACACCTGATTGTAAATAGTAAGTTAGTACATAGTAAGGACAGGCTGGACACCTGATTGTAAATAGTAAGTTAATACATAGTTAGGGCAGGCTGGACACCTGATTGTAAATAGTAAGTTAGTACATAGTAAGGGCAGGCTGGACACCTGATTGTAAATAGTAAGTTAGTACATAGTTAGGGCAGGCTGGACACCTGATTGTAAATAGTAAGTTAGTACATAGTAAGGGCAGGCTGGACACCTGATTGTAAATAGTAAGTTAGTACATAGTTAGGGCAGGCTGGACACCTGATTGTAAATAGTAAGTTAGTACATAGTAAGGGCAGGCTGGACACCTGATTGTAAATAGTAAGTTAGTACATAGTTAGGGCAGGCTGGACACCTGATTGTAAATAGTAAGTTAGTACATAGTTAGGGCAGGCTGGACACCTGATTGTAAATAGTAAGTTAGTACATAGTAAGGGCAGGCTGGACACCTGATTGTAAATAGTAAGTTAGTACATAGTTAGGGCAGGCTGGACACCTGATTGTAAATAGTAAGTTAGTACATAGTAAGGGCAGGCTGGACACCTGATTGTAAATAGTAAGTTAGTACATAGTTAGGGCAGGCTGGACACCTGATTGTAAATAGTAAGTTAGTACATAGTAAGGGCAGGCTGGACACCTGATTGTAAATAGTAAGTTAGTACATAGTTAGGGCAGGCTGGACACCTGATTGTAAATAGTAAGTTAGTACATAGTTAGGGCAGGCTGGACACCTGATTGTAAATAGTAAGTTAGTACATAGTTAGGGCAGGCTGGACACCTGATTGTAAATAGTAAGTTAGTACATAGTAAGGGCAGGCTGGACACCTGATTGTAAATAGTAAGTTAGTACATAGTAAGGACAGGCTGGACACCTGATTGTAAATAGTAAGTTAGTACATAGTAAGGGCAGGCTGGACACCTGATTGTAAATAGTAAGTTAGTACATAGTAAGGGCAGGCTGGACACCTGATTGTAAATAGTAAGTTAGTACATAGTAAGGGCAGGCTGGACACCTGATTGTAAATAGTAAGTTAGTACATAGTTAGGGCAGGCTGGACACCTGATTGTAAATAGTAAGTTAGTACATAGTTAGGGCAGGCTGGACACCTGATTGTAAATAGTAAGTTAGTACATAGTAAGGGCAGGCTGGACACCTGATTGTAAATAGTAAGTTAGTACATAGTTAGGGCAGGCTGGACAGTAAGTCAATACAAAGTTGGGCAGGTTGGACACTTGATCGTATCTAAAAGTCAATTCATAGACAGGGAAAGCTGTACACCTGATTATTATGCAAGACGCTTGAGTGGTAGTAGAAACTTTCATGATTTTTGCAGTCTTGACAATTTTGATAATTTCTCCAATTAATTAGATAGCCAATATGATTTTACTTGAAATTTGAAAAATCAGTTGTATATTAATGAACAACATTCCCTGATAATTCAAATAGTCATTGTAATATATAATTCTTCTGTTTTCAGTGTATATGCACAGTTGATGAATCGTCCACAGATGCGTCTTTCGTTAATTCTCATTCCTATGGAATGTTTTATTCCTGTTGCCATGGATACAGATGTTGAGATGTCAGACTATGACTACAACATGAACTATCCCCCTTTACAAGTGATATATGAAGATTTTTCGGATGTTTGGGTTAATGTAAGTTTTTATGTCAGTACTATCGACTATTGGTTTTCATATTATATGAACTGTACTGAACAGAACATTGATAATAATAGTGTGAGCAGGCATGGTGTGGACACATATATTTGAACTTATGTTTTAATCTAAATTTTTGATTTATTATCATATTCTATTGACTTTCAAGTCTTCATGAGAAACACATATTTGTTTGAAGGGTAGATGAGACTCTAGACAATTATTTTCTATGATCTAATTATAAAGTCTTTTTTTTTCTTCCAGGTCCATGATAATCTTCACTTTTTACCATCCCAGAGTTGTTCAGAAGTAATGTTTGTTTGGTCCACTGAAAAATCAGGGTACCGACATTTGTACAAAGTTACCTCAAAGCTGAAAAACTGTGATAATTACAAAAGTGCTTTAGATTTGATTGAGGGTATGTTGAAAGTTATCCTATAGATTTAATTTCCATAGATAGGTCCAAGGACACAGTTATCGTCCTTTGGTTTTCGTTGTCTACAAATATAGTCCCTAGTGTGAACAGTGTATAACTTGCATTTTTTTTTGATACACTTTCCCAATTTATTTCTTGATATTTTATGCATGAAATATTAAGTAAGGGGATGAAATTACATGTTAAAAAAATTTGGGTGCTGAATCTTTATGTTAAGTAGTGATTTGGTCCAGTTAAAAAAGGTCAAAAATTAGAATGTCTGAAGCTGTCAAACTGAATTTTAGCCCCCCTTAACACAGAATTGTCAATATTTTGAGTTAGAGCTGGTAGAAGTTTCTATAATTTTGATATTATTTGTATCAATAGTAGTACACTACACTGTAAAAATCTTTTTGAGATAGAGCAGGTGCGATTTTTTTAATTTGAATTTATTGTCTAAAAGAAATGCACTACGAAATAACTGTGTTCTCGGGCCTAAGAGATGAATTCCGTAAATGTAGATTCTGTACTTTGGCCACTTATCTGAATGGTTTGCTGGTTTCAATTTGTCAAACTCAATAAAAGTAAAGGATTTACATCTTTGTTTGACAGAAATTCTGTTAAAATGTCCCATTTTGGCATTATACGGCTAAAATAGGCATTTTAAAGCAGTTTCCATTTTATGCCTAAGAGCCATGCTGACTTTCTATCTGACAGCTTTTTATGTTCCTGATATTTGTGTTTCTATGCTTAAATCAAATTTAATTAACCATTTGTGAACTCGGAATCTAGAGAAAAGTAGATTATCACAGAAAAAATGTGCAGAATATTTGTATTTATGTCCCTGGTTAAACGGCCTGTTTGATGTATGTGAAATGTGAAGAGCTTTGTACATAAAATCTGTAGTCCATCACAAATATTTCACTAAATCTGTAAAAGAACCCACTTTACAATGATCAGTACACCCTATTCATTTCATATGCTATCATAATTTTCTTCTTTAGGATAGTAAGTGGTTCAAATATATGCCAAATGAGACTAAAAATACATGCAAGTTTTCCATTGAAAAGTGAAAAACTGGTCATCAGACCATACTGTCTGCAAAAAAAAGTTGAATTCAAGAGTCCTTTTGCAATTAGACTTCTTTTATCATGACATCTTAGCATAGAAATGAGCAAAAAGTATCAAATTTCAATTTCTTATAGCCTCTGTGTGCATTTTTATATGTAAATATGGGCTACGGCCTAAATCGACTCTAAATAATTCTCAGTCTTACATGGCCTAAGACCATTTTATACTCATGTGGTATGCTTTTTGTAACTTTTCTTTACATTTAAAGTACATTTAATATATATGGAAGAATAATGTATGGTTAAAAAACTTCAAAAACTTCAAATTGGTTGAAAAAAATGCATGTTTATGTAAGGCTTCCCTTAATTCAAAAATCTCTATTTTCAGGCACAGGCTCATATAAATTTGACTTTTGAATAACTGTAATAAATCTGATAAATCAAATGAGTGTTCCGTTGCTTTTAATACTTATTATATTAAATTCAAGAGTATTTTAAAAGCAAATTTTTGCAATATTTAAATTTTTTAGGCCAAAATCTTGACAGTTGAAAATATTTGATTTAAACGTCAAAAATAAACCACCAAATTTCAATATTAAAATGGCCCTAGTTTCTATAATATATATCCTATGGCCATGAAACTTGGCCAACTATCTTATAATTGCCTAAGCTTAGGTCATGCAAAGTTTTATTAAAATTGGTCAAGTCTTTCTATCCTATTAGGTCCAAGGACACAGTTATCGTCCTTTGGTTTTCGTTGTCTACAAATATAGTCCCTAGTGTGAACAGTGTATAACTTGCATTTTTTTTTGATACACTTTCCCAATTTATTTCTTGATATTTTATGCATGAAATATTAAGTAAGGGGATGAAATTACATGTTAAAAAAATTTGGGTGCTGAATCTTTATGTTAAGTAGTGATTTGGTCCAGTTAAAAAAGGTCAAAAATTAGAATGTCTGAAGCTGTCAAACTGAATTTTAGCCCCCCTTAACACAGAATTGTCAATATTTTGAGTTAGAGCTGGTAGAAGTTTCTATAATTTTGATATTATTTGTATCAATAGTAGTACACTACACTGTAAAAATCTTTTTGAGATAGAGCAGGTGCGATTTTTTTAATTTGAATTTATTGTCTAAAAGAAATGCACTACGAAATAACTGTGTTCTCGGGCCATATGGTTTAAGTTAGTAAGATGAAATTTAAAATTTTATTTTATTTTTTATAATCAATTTCCTTTTACAAAATTTTGCAGTATTAATATTTGAACGATCAGACTATAAAGATAAACAGGAATTTGTCAATTTCATATACATTTAGAGTAACTTTTTTTTTCTTTGAAAAAAACATGATTAAAGATAAAATATTTTTTGGGAAAATATACTGAAACAGGATCAGAGTTTAGTTTAAAGATGATTAATTTTTCAAAAGGACAAATGGATCAGATACAAGTTTTTATACGAACGCAAACAAATTTTTGTGGTCGTATATTGGTAAGATGTTGGCGTCGTCGTCGTCGTCCGAAGACACATTGGTTTTCGCACTCTAACTTTAGTTTAAGTGAATGGATCTCTATGAAATTTTACCATAAGGTTCAATACCACAAAAGGAAGGTGGGGATTGATTTTGGGGGTTATGGTACCAACAGTTAAGGAATTAGGGGCCAAAAAGGGGCCAAAAATAAGCATTTTTGTAACATCCAGACATAACTTGTGTGTTAGTGTATGGATCTCTCTGACATTGTACCACAAGGTTCCATATCACAAAGGGAATGCTGGGATTGATGTTGGGGGTAATTGCCTCCAAATTTTAGGAATTAGGGGGCAAAAAGGGGCAAAAAACAAGCATTTTTCTAGTTTCATGACAATAACTTGTGTGTAAGTGTATGGATCTCTCTGACATTGTACCACAAGGTTCCATATCACAAAGGGAATGCTGGGATTGATTTTGGGGGTAATTGCCTCCAAATTTTAGGAATTAGGGGCCAAAAAGGGGCAAAAAACAAGCATTTTTCTAGTTTCATTACAAAAACTTGTGTGTAAGTGTATGGATCTCTCTGACGTTGTACCACAAGGTTCCATATCACAAAGGGAATGCTGGGATTGATTTTGGGGGTAATTGCCTCCAAATTTTAGGAATAAGGGGCCAAAAAGGGGCAAAAAACAAGTATTTTTCTAGTTTCATGACAATAACTTGTGTGTAAGTGTATGGATCTTTATGAAATTGTACTACAAGGTTCCATATCACAAAGGGAAAGCTGGAATTGAGTTTGGGGGTAATTGGCCAAAACGTTTAGGAATAAGGGGCCAAAAATAAGCATTTTTCTAGTTTCCAGACAATAACTTGTGTTCAAGTGTATGGATCTCTCTGAAATTGTACTGCAAGGTACCATACCACAAAGGGAAGGCTGGAATTGATTTTTGGGGTAATTGCCTCAAAATTTCAGGAATTAGGGGCCATAAAGGGGCAAAAAAACAAGCATTTTTCTAGTTTCAGGACAATAACTTGTGTGTAAGTGTATGGATCTTTATGAAATTGTACTGCAAGGTTCCATATCACAAAGGGAAAGCTGGGTTTGAGTTTGGGGGTAATTGCCCTAAATGTTTAGGAATTTGGGGCAAAAAAGGGGCAAAAAAACAAGCATTTTTCTAGTTTCCAGACAATAACTTGTGTTCAAGTGTATGGATCTCTCTGAAATTGTACTGCAAGGTACCATACCACAAAAGGAAGGCTGGGATTGAGTTTGGGGGTGATGAATCATAAGGGGGTTCAAAAAATTTGGGGTGGATTTTTTTTTCCTTTTTTTCTTTAAAATTTTCCATTTTAAATTGGTTATATCTGATATATATATTAAAGCAAATCATAATAATATGGTTTGAATAGGTAAATTAAAAATTATAAGTTCTTAGACCACATTCATTCTGTGTCAGAAACCTTTGCTGTGTCAAATATTTAATTACAATCCAAATTCAGTGCTGTATCAAGCTTGAATGTTGTGTCCATACTTGCCCCAACTGTTTTCTCCATTTGAGATGAGGAGTGTATTTCAGGTTAATTGTGAAGTATTACAGTTTCTTTAGGTTAAGGGACTGCTTTTTGCTTATGTAATAGATAGAAAGTTCATAAAGTTAAGGTGAAGAGAGAGTTGAATATTTGTAAAGTTACAAATTAAACCAACATAATTTCTTTAATAAATGTTACGTCAACTGTCAAAACATAAAATAGTGTTCAACTTGACTCAAGAACAAGAAATATATATTTTAATTGTGTGCCAGAAAGTAAAGGTAAGGGCTGATCCTGTAAAAACATTCATGGTTACCAAGGAAGGTGCATTATAAATGGAATAACTAATTAAAGGGTTTACTTTAGAATTTCACTTAATTTTCATTAGACAAAATATCAAAGGTGAGAATTTGAAGTGCCTTTACTGGATCCTCTGTATGTTTTAATGAATGTCCTAAAGACACTGTATATTTTTTTTAGATGTTTTAGAACCAGATATAATAGAGGAAATTCCCTTAACAAGTGGTGATTGGGAGGTTATAAATAAACAGGTATTGTTACGTACTTTACTTATAAAAGATGAAAACAACACATTATAAATTTTATGCGTCCAAAGCACTGTTCTGGATTTACCTTCATCAGGAATGCTCAAAACCAAATATTTGAAAGTCAAGGATGTACAAGAACGGAAATAGTTTAAGAGCTATATTACCAAAAAAAGACCTAAAAACATAGCCAAATCCATCAAAAGTCAACTTTGCCTAAGGGAGTTGAAACCTTAGTTTCTAATAATTTCAAAATATTTTAACGGACAATTTTATAAAGGATTGTTTTAAATCATGTTAGTACCGAAGTACTGACTACTAGGCTGATGATACCCTCAGGGACTGATAGTCCACCAGCAAAGGTATCGACCCAGTGCTGTAAAAAATGAAAACAACACATTATAAATTTCATGTGTCTGAAGCACTTTTCTTGATTTACCTTCATCAGGAACGCTCCAATTCGAATATTTGAAAGCCAAGGATGTACAAGAACTGAAATAGTTGAAGAGGTATATTACCAAAAAGAACCTAAAAAATAGCCAAATCAATCTAAGGTCAACTTTGCCTGAGGGAGTTGAAAGAAGAATTGCATTATGTGTATGATGATCAGAGGTCATAAACAAGCCTATGGTTTTAATTTTCTAAATCATGCATGATTTTTTATTATTGTTTTTGGCTTTTAACTAGCTGTCAGTAACTGCGAGTACTCTCAAATCGTACTTTCTTGTTAATTTGACCTGTTGATACTATTTGTAATGCTTTTTTGTTATTTAATGTTTACTTATTCAGGGTTATATCTGGTCTATATACCAGCTTTGATAAATGTTTGGTATTACTATAAATTTTCACTTCTTTGAACTATGAGCATCAAAATTATTTATTTTGTAAAAATATTTCGTTTCTCCTTTTAAACTGTATACCTAACAACAAAATTATTTTCATTTACCTGTGTATAATATTATTGTAAATGGCGGATTTTTGTTTAAGGATATTGTTGTTTTTCTGAAATTGTTTAACATTTCACAGCGGTATAATACTGTTACTTTAATTATTCATCCCTTATTTTATTGATTTCGTATTTACATTGTATTATAGATCAAATTTATTCGTTCAGTGTATGTGCACTTGTGTTAATATGTTTTTGATTGAGTTAAGCCATTTCAATTGATATTTTATAGTGTGGGTTTCTATGTTGTGATGTTACACTATTGTTTCAGATAAGGGTGAAGGTTTGGTACCATTGAAATGTTTAAACCCACTGCAATTGTTTGCACCTGTCCTAAGTCAGGAATCTGATGTTCAGTAGTTGTCGTTTGTTGATGTGGTTCATAAGTGTTTCTCGTTTCTCGTTTATATATAGATTAGACCATTGGTTTTCCTGTTTGAATGGTTTTACACTAGTAATTTTTGGGGCCCTTTATAGCTTGCTGTGCAGTGTGAGCGACGGCTCCATGTTGAAGACCGTACTTTAACCTATAATGGTTTACTTTTATAAATTGTGACTTGGATGGAGAGTTGTCTCATTGGCACTTATACCACATCTTCTATATCTATAAAACACAAACTACAAGGAGATAATGCTACAATAAGATTCACAACATTTCTCTTTTTTCAAAATGTTGTATTCAAAACAGATATATCAAAACTTGGAGAGAAAAACTTTTTTATCAATGGTATGAATGAATGGAGATATGAGGTAAAAGTCAATAAGATAGCACCTGGAAAACAAAATGCACATGTAAAGGTCACCATGGAAGATGAACAGTAACCAACATATGCCAACTAAGGCAATTCATAAATCAATTCAACAAAATTCATTGAAGAATCAACATAAACTCTAAATTCAGTTAATAGACAGACAACAAAATGAGAGAGTCACAATTACTGTCAGTGCCTTAATTGGAACAATTACATATATATGTACCGGTAACAGGGTTGCAGTGGTTTAGTATATAAATCTTTTAAAATTTATATTTCTGATTTGAAGAAAAAGTGTTGAGTTGGTTTATGGTTTTGGAATGAAATAACAGTATCATGTACTGTTTATTGTCATGAGATGAATTTTGAAGCCTATTCTTTGCATTTATAATGGTGCTAGCAGAAAACAATTAAGCTATGGTCACAAGATTTGTTCCTGTAAATAATGATCTTTGTTCATTTTGTTGTATAATTTTTGTATGTATTTACCAGCTGGATATATCAACAGACAATTATGAGATACATGTAAATAATTATTGTATAAAATGTTTTTTCTTATTAGATCTGGGTTGACACAGACAAGAAAGTCGTATATTTTATTGGTTTAAAAGATTCTGTATTAGAAACACATTTGTAAGCTGTTTTAATAATTTTGTAATTGAGGTTCTAAGTTGTCATTTAATTCTTGAATGTTTGGATGTATGAAACTACAAACTAGAGATACTTGTAAAAAAAAAGAACATTGGGAAAGAATATAATTTAATTTATTTAAAAGATACTCAAAGTAAACAACTGCATAAGTTTAACATATGAAAATTGCTTACAGTTTTGATTGTACCTGATTAAGTTTATCAATAAACACAAGGAGGTCATATCATACTTATTATATCAACTAAGAACTGTTCTCTATTATATATTATATATCTTTTGCATGCATCCTTTAAGTATTTAAGCAAAAATAAACTGGTAACTTAATTGATGGTGTTTTCAGCTATAATATCTTTAGAGTGGATATACATTTAAATTCAACTGAACAAAAGATAGTTCAGCACTTTCGAGAAAGTTATTACATGTCTTGACTGTTTTCAACATGACCCTAACAATTGAAAATATAGATTTTAATGATCTCAAATATTGTAATTTGTGACCCATTGGAAACAGAGCCGAAATTCACAATACTAATTATTAACAACATCTTATGATTCAAGATACCCATTTTTAGCTCACCGGGGCCCAAAGGGCCCCATGTGAGCTTATGCCATCACTTGGCGTCCGTCGTCGTCGTCTGTCATCGTAAACTATTTCAAAAATCTTCTCCTCTGAAACTACTGGGCCAAATACCTTCAAACTTTAACTAAATGTTCCTTAGGGTATCTAGTTTATAAATTGTATCCGAAGTTTTGATCCATCGATAAACATGGCCGCCATGGCTAAAAATAGAACATAGGGGTCAAATGCAGTTTTTGGCATATATCTCAAAAACTAAATCTTTTAGAGCAAATGTAACAAGGGGTTAAATTGTTTAATTGGTCAAGATCTATCGGCCCTGAAATTATCAGACAAATCGAACAACCCATTGTTGGGTTGCTGCCACCGAATTGGTAGTTTTAACAAAATTTTGCAGTTTTTTGTTATTTTGAATATTATTATAGATATATATAAACTGTAAGCAGCAATAATGTTCAGCAAAATGAGATCTACAAAAAAGTTAATATGACCAAAATTGTCAATTGACCCCTTAAGGAGTTATTGCCCTTTAAAGACAATTATAAACAATTTGTTCATCAAGTTTGCTAACATTTAAAAATCTTCTCCTCTGAAATACAGGTGAGCAATTCAGGCTCTTGAGAGCCTCTTGTTTTCACAATATAACGTGTAAGAATTGATTAATTATACTTTTTTGTGTGTATGTTAATGTTGGATATCAGGCTTTGTGGTCATAAAATTTTGAGCACGATTGCAGTACTTGGACTCAGAAATCAACTAATCAAAATATTGGATTTGATGTTACAGCACAATTTTTGTTTTCTGAGTACTGATTAAAGGTTTATGACAGACAGACAGAGAGCCCTGTTCTAGCACAGTACTGATGGCTTATCTTCATCTGTCAAGATAAACACTGAGCAATGAACATTTCTATAAGTATTGTACATAGAACCCTCTGATGCAGACTCGCTGTATATTGAGAATGTCATTACAGATATAGTGTACTGAATATTGATAATGTCATTACAGATGTAGTGTACTGAATATTGATAATGTCATTACAGATATAGTGTACTGAATATTGAGAATGTCATTATAGATATATATTGTACTGAATATTGATAATGTCATTACAGATATAGTGTATCATACGACAATCCAAAGAATGTAGTACGGTTGACTGAAGAAGGATTTTCTCATAATATAACCATTAGTTCGGTAAGTTTGAAATGTCAAAATGTAAATGATTATCTTTATATATCCTGGAGTTTCTGTATGGAAGTGTACCTAGTTTTAAATATGATTATAAGGAGATGTGGGGTGAAAATGAATGAACAGCATCCCAATTACACAAAGAAACGAAAGACTTTCTTTCTTGCAAAGTCTTAATATAAAATAACAAAATAAGGTTATATCATATTTTATAATATACAGATTTTATTTTCTTCTGTTTATACATTGCAAATCTCAGATACTGAAAAATAGTATTATCATTGTTTTATAGTAGTAAATATGAAAGTTTTAAACAGAGTGATTTTTTTGCCAAATATTTTTAGGATTGTAGCTATTTTGTGACAGTTTATAGTTCTATACAACAAACATCAATGAGTAAGATATTCCGGCTGTGTCATGGAAGAAGGGGAATTGTTTACACAGAAACTCTTGGCACTCTGATGTTATCAACAGGTACATGTAAAAATAATTAGTACTTCTTAAATAATTTTATAAATTTGTATCTAAACATTGAAAATAAAACATTAATTAAACTTGTGATCATAAAACTGGATTTTGATAGATAAAAATAAAAAAGCTTCAAATTAGTACTCCACCAAGCAAATCATTATTGTACTTTTGTCAATGTCTGGTTGATACATGAATTATACTGTGAAGGAAACTACATGTACATATAATTTATGGAAAAGTGAGATTTATTTTTGTTGTTGTGCTGACTGTAAACTATATATATTTCAAATCAATTTATCCACAGCATGCCCTGAGTATCAGGCCCCAAAGTTGTTCAATTTTGACAGTACTTGTGGATACAAGTTACATGGGCTATATTATGAACCTTATGGATGTGAACCTGGAGAAAAGAGGCCTACTGTAGTCATGGTGTATGGTGGGCCTCAAGTTCAACAAGTTACAAATGCTTTCAAAGGAGTTAGGTATGTTGATCAAGATTTATTTGATCTTTTAAGCAGAAATTGAGACATGATTTATGCAAAATTCTCTGTTTCAATGAAATGAATAGAAATATCAGTCAAAATTAACACCTGTGGTCATTTCTTAAGGATGAGACTTTCAAATTGGATGTATTTTCCTGTCAGATCGTTTTTATGAATGTTCTTTCCTTTGGCGATATCTTTAAAATGTATTTTCACCTTATGAAGTGTTATAGATCATCTGTAATGCAAATGCTAAGTAATGATATGCTAAAAAACAGCAAACTCATTTTAATAATGTGTTGTAAGATGGCTATACTTGAAGCCATATTTTATATAAATATATATTTGATATAAATATTTCATTGATATACAATTTATTAGTTAGTGAAATTGATGAATATCTTTTATTCATTTAATGTGCAATAGGTTTTTGCGACACCATACCTTAGCAACGCATGGATACACAGTTGTAGTTATAGATGGACGTGGATCCTGCCATAGAGGACTAAAATATGAAAGCTACATAAAACATAAACTGGTTAGTACATTCTTTATCATTTTTAGTTATGAATTTTTGTTTTTATGCCCCTGCTGCAGCGGAGTGGGCAAGTTGATCAAGTTCAAATTCGGGTTTTGTCACTTTTACCGTGCTTGAGTTATGTTCCTTTATAACGTTATATGCAAGCTGGGGGCATCATCTGTGTCCTATGGATACATTCTCCATTTATTTTGTAATATCATGCCATTTTAGACAAAAAATTTACATAATTTGTTTATCTTATTACATTTCTCATAATTCTTTTTAATGATTGAATGCAAAGGAGAACTTTAAGTTTGATGGTTTTTTAGTAAGTACATGTATAGATAAACAGAGAGGTATGATTGACCTCTAGCTGAAAAAAAATGGGACATGAATGTTATTTTCTAGAGTTTTATAGTAAATGAAGACAAAAGTCAGAATTTTAACAATGACAGTGAAAAATGTTCACAATAATAGTTCTGAAATGTTTGAAAAATTTGTTTATCATATAGTTACCACACAGAACTTATTCAATGTAATTTTGCTAAAGTTTAGCTTGAAAAGGATAAAAAATCAGTTTACAGTAATTTTTGCTGTAAACTGTATGATCATTTGGCAAATTAATTATAGTGTTCCAAAAGTGAACATATAGGCGTTGAAAAGTTCCACTTTTACAAAAATACAGAAGTTAAATATCAGAAATTATTTCAATCAGCTTATTAAAAAGTAATTAAGAAATGAAACCATTGTTTCCTTGATCAAATTTTATGCTTTACATTTAATAAGTAGAGAGAAGAAAAAATGGTCTAGCAATGAATAACTTGAAGGCTAGTGTCAAATTTAAAAAAAATAATAGTGGAATACTTTCTCAATGGTAGTTCTGAAATGTTAAAAAAAATACTAAATTGTGTAGATACAATTCAGAACATATTCCATGGGTTATGCCAATTATATAATTATTTCTGCAGATTAAAAGACACCAGTATATGATATACATGGTAGATATTTTATTTTTAGGGAACAGTAGAATTAGACGATCAGATTGAAGGCTTGCGGTACCTAGCATCCATTGTAGATTTTATAGATTTAGACAGAGTAGCTATTCATGGATGGTCTTATGGTTTGTGTTGTCATATTTCAATTTTATGATTGATATGTTCACAAATTAAATTTTCAGAATCTGTACTGATAGATTATCATTGGTTTTTTTCTCATCTACAATCTCATTGAAGGGTGACAGCCCTCCTGAGATGAGATGTATTTGAGAAACAGCCTTGTGATATGAAAAATTATCACAAAAAAAGATCAAAGAAAGGTTTTAGATAATAGTGATAAATGTGCAATTAAGGCCAGTAGAAAAGGTGAATATCCGAAAGTGTCAACTCTAAGGATCAATTCAGTTTGGGTACAGCCTGAAGTGAAATAGTTTTTTAGGGTTGACAAATTTGAATATTCACCACATCTAAGGGGCCAACATTGTTTTATTTTACCAAACTAACAGTCAAAGAGCCTTTCATTCCAATGTCACTAGACATCATCTTAATGGGAGATAACTCATGTATAAGTTGAGGGGCTCAAAAGTTTATTCATTGGTGACTAAAGGGGTTAATTGTTGAACATTGTTAACTTTTAGGGTTATTTGCCATTGTTTGCATTTAAATGAAAATAAACCCTATTGTTTTATGTCATGTGATAATGTTTTACCCAATAAATTTTTTTGTTAATATGTAAGGTATATTAATTTGTGTTCTGGTGTCTAGTAAATAGAATAATATATCAAGCCTATACTGGTAAAATGTTTACTTTGCGAAACGTGTAAACACTTTTTTAAAGATAATGTTGCTTTTTAATAAGTAAATGAACACTTTGTAGGTATTTATTTTGCATACACTTTGACTACATTGTAAAAAGATCATTGATGTCATGGAATATTAAGTCTTTGCTCTATCTCAAAATTAGCATTCAAATTATAAGCAAGATGTTCATCCACATTTTAAGTTTGTTTCTTTTGAACTATAGATTAAAATTGTACTATTGACAGTCTATTGTGTAGGAAGTAATTTTTGACACTCAATTAAACAAGTTTAATGGTTTAGATATTACAAATATTGCTTGTATGGCATTGATTTAAAATATGTTTTATTTTTTCTAGGTGGATATTTATCTTTACTTGGTTTAGCCAAACATCCAAATGTATTTAAAGTAGGTATACTTTCATTATTTCAGATCTAGTATTAGTGTTTTATATGTTTAATTGTCAAATTTTAACAGTAATTGTCTCATTATTGTTTATTCTACTTTTGCAAAATTCAGTAATGGCATTTGTAGATTTTGCGTTGTGTAAATTTTAGGGTTTCACTTGAAGTGAAAATTAAATTATAGCAGCAGATAGATATATGATACAATAACATTTTTGTCATTTTTAGGTAGCAATAGCAGGGGCACCAGTGGTCAGTTGGAACCTTTATGACACGGGGTATACAGAAAGATATATGAACATTCCTGAACAAGAAGATGAGAATTATAGAGATAGTTCTATTTTAACTTATGTTGACAGATTCCCTGATATGTAAGTTTATATACCTGGTAGTTATAGTTGTTATATGCCAAAGATTATTTTCATCAGTTATTGCGGCGGACATAGAAACACTGGGCGTCCATCTGTTCGTCCAGTCTTGTTAGTGCTCTCACGTGTACAATTCTTGCCAGATTTTTTATAAAACTTATATCATAGATTTATATTAGAAATGTCTTGGACAATTTCGAAAAACAGTGCTGATCATTTTTTTTTAAAAGAGTTATGCCCCTTGGAAACATTAATTATATGGAAAATTACATCTTTAGCGCTCTCATTTGTGCAATTCTTGCCAGATTTTTATGAAACTTATATCATAGGTTTATATTAGCAATGTCTTGGACGAGTTTGAAAATTGGTGCCAATCAATTATTTTTAAAAGAGTTATGCCCCTTGGAAACATTAATTATATGGAAAATTGCATTGTTAGCGCTCTCATGTGTTCAAATCTTGCCAGATTTTTATGAAACTTAAATCAAAGGTTTATATCAGCAATGTCTTTGACTAGTTCGAAATTAAGTGCCGATCATTTATTTTTAAAAGAGTTATTTCCCTTGGAAACATTGAATATATGGAAAATTGCATTGTTAGTATTCTCATGTGTACAATTCTTGCCAGAATTTTATGAAACTTAAATCATAGTTTTATATTAGCAATGTCTTTGAAAATCAGTGACGATCAATAATTTCTAAAAGAGTTATAATTATGCCCCTTGGAAATATTAATTGTATGGAAAATTTCCTTATGAGCGCTCTAATGTGTACAATTCATGCCAGATTTTTATGAAATTTATATTACAGGTTTATATCATCAATGTCTTTGACAAGTTCCAAAATAAGTGCTGATCTCAAATATTTTTAACGAATTATGCCCCTTGGAAATATGAATTATAATGGAAATCACATTGCATTTGCTCTGAAACCTTCATTATGAAGATATTAATAAAAAGTTTTAAAGAACAAAAAAATTTGCTTTTTTTAGTTATTGCCCTTGTACCTTGGATAGATAAAATATGGGCAATGCGGGGGACATTGGAACTCTGTTCTTTTATTTAACAGATTTCAGTTATTTTCATTCTTGGATTTTTAATTCAAAGATTATTACCAAATGGTTTAATCATTATGGTCACATCAACTGAAGCTGCTGAAACTAAGTTGGAAATTTTTTACTGATGACATTCTTTTACCTAACCCTATACATAATTAACATGGACATACAGTACAGAGTCAAATAGAGATAACAACATTAATTACACCTTATCTATAGAAAGTGTGATCTTGAAGACCTTGTACACTTCTATATATGGACATCTGAAAGAACTTAGGGCTGTTCCATTACCCCATTATGAAAGTGCCTTTCCCATGGTATCATGTATGTTGTTATGGGAACAGCCCTTATTGTATTACATGTATAATTAAAGATGCATTCACATCATTGCTCAATTTTTTAAGAACTTTTAACTTACACAATTGACTGATTTGTTCATATTGTTTAATAAAATTACATTTATTTACTCTTTTATATTTGTAGAGAAAACCGACTTCTGATAATCCATGGTTTGATTGATGAGAATGTCCATTTTCACCATACAAGTACACTTGTTAATGCATTGATAAAGGCTTGTAAACCCTATCAATTACAGGCGAGTAACACTTTTTTAAACTCAAATGAAGCTTTTTTTAGTATAAGAGATGTTGCTATCAACTTGATCAAACTATCAAACTCTGTCCTCTAAAACCACCATAAATAGTAGGTACATGCTCTTAATTCTCACTGCTAGTTATGTAAAAGTTTGAAGCAATTGAATAGAGATTGATGAATATCTGTAAATCAATACTTATTGCATAAATGGACGGACAATAAGAAAGAAACAGTGATAATCTCTGACAAGGCAACTTACTTTGGACAAGCACATAACCATGTAACAGCATTAAACAAGTTTTTTTTATCCCCCACCTAGGTTAGAAGGAGGGAGGAAGATTATGTTTTCAGGTCTGTGTGTCTGTCAGTTCTGTATCAGGTTAAAGTATTGGTTTAAGAGTACCATGACGTTGTGGTCACACGTGTGTCTTATGATGTTAATAAGGGTTTTGATCCAGATTTCACATTTCACTGAACATGGAATTGTGATAGTGTAAAAGGGACTTTGTTGTTTGTGGTAATCTATTCTTGTTATTTAAAATCTTTTATCTTTAGATTTAAAGATGGAAATTTAATGAGAACACCTAATGAATGTTAAATAATCATAGCAAAGAAAAAAGTAGAGATGAAATTAATGGCATTTTATGTATTTTTTTTCCCACAGATATATCCCAATGAAAGACATGGAATACGGAACCACGAAGCGAGTGAACATTATAAAACCATGATTCTCAGCTTTCTTCAAAATAATTTGTAACTGTCCATAATCGGTCATCAGTACTGAATCTCAATCTATTGATTTATTGCAGAGGCAATCATTTAATTTCAAAAGTGGATTCATTTGCAAAATTCAAATCCAAAGCCAAAAATTTATTAGTTCATATTGTTTGCTGATGAAATCAACATGGAAAATTTATAAAAGAACACTGCAGATATCTGTTATAGCCTGATTTTTATTTATCAATACCAGTCTATTGAAATAGGTGACAATGGTGAAATAGGCATCATAGATACTAGATAGTATGGAAGCCAATCTTGCTGACTGCTTGATGATATATAGTCATAAGTTCATATCCTTTCATTAGATATAAAATTCCTTGATTTTTAAGTGAAATGAATTTTAAATCTCTTGTGCCCTAGAATTTTTTAATGCCCATTACAAATTGATATATAAAAATTTTAACATGAAGTTTTAATGTTCATTTTTCATTGTTTGAGGGGAAAATTTTCATTAGTATAAATGATGACTTCATTAGCTTATTAATAGTAATAATACAGTACTGTAGAGAATTGAAAATAGAGTTAGTTATCTATGATTTCACTGCAGTCAAAAACAATGAAATTAAGAGAATAAATCCTCATAGAATCATTTGATACAGAAAGCATAAAACAAAAGCTGTTATATACATAAGGGAACTATAAAAATCAACAGAACATTCAAACTTTAATATAAACCGTTCCAAGAAGACTTTTTTTAAATCTACTCTATTTTTTCATGTAATGATATTTTAATGAAAAGCTCAAATTTCATTACTCTAGCCTCATTTTTTAGCAATTTGTATGTTACAAATATGAGTATAAATAAAAATTACATTTTGAAGTAATTTATATTCAATCGAAGGTGCATTTAATAAGCAATAAGCAAAACTTTTAAATTGGATTAATCTCTTTTAGTTTAATATATGTACTGTTTTAAGTATGTAAATATTACTATCAATGCATACTTGGTTAATAGTATTTTCTATTATAACAAACCAAGTCTCTGAGGTAAAATAAAACCAAAATACGCACCACATAAATTAATCTTCTTCATATATTTTTAGCAAAATAAGAAAATGCTAATAGTAAATATATAAAACTCAAAACCATTAACTAATAACTTATTTTAACTGGCAATCATTTGTTTCAAGAAGTGCTTAATTCATTGCATATAAGAGGTAGACCTTGGTTATTAATGGAGAAAATTCTTTAAATCTGTAAGGCGTTTGTTATTTTGACCTAAGTATACCTCCTAACCAGACTGCTTACTGTGTATAATGTGGCATTTTGTAGGTATATACTGTGAACTATTACTGTGATATTTGTTGATATACTTGCATGAATTGTCATTTATTTTAATGAATGATGTTTTAATAAAACTGTTATCTGGTTGTTTTTTTTTTAAGCATTTGTTTGAATATCATCTTTCAAATTTAGTTTGTGAGAAAAAAACAATTAGTAGATGTTACAACTGTGATTTCATGAGATAAAATGTACTCTCATAATCCTGCTATCTTTACACTACAGTGATGCTAAGGTCTCCACAATAATGAGTGAAATACAAATCCTGTGTCCACGCTTCGCCTACAAGAATCTGATACCATTCTGTTCTACTCTATATTTGAAAAATCTTTTCAGGATCCTCTTGTTGAGTTTCTTAATGACACACACATTCCACACACCTTCAAAAATTTGATGGCTGAAATTTGATTGGCTGATGTATTAATTACCAGAAAAGAAATTAGAATGGAGCGGTGTCAGATCCTTGAAAGTAAAGCTTGAACACAGGATTTGTATTTTAGTCAGATTTAGTTCATATCTAGATGTTTAAATGAATTCAATGGGTAGCTGTTCAAAAGTCAAAATCATACACAACACTATTAAAAACTTTATTAGGGCCTCGTCTAGTAGCGGTTCGCCCTATAGTGATAAGTTTGTCCGTCTGTCTGTCCGTAAAAAATTGTGTCCTCTCTATCTAGAGAACTGTTATGATTTCATACTTTATACTTGACATGTATATTAACCAACACCAGAGGGTGTGTCATAATGTTTGTACAACTTCCTAGGTCAAAAGTTCAAGGTAAAAAACTTTTGTTTCAGTTCGTCCGTCCGTCTAACAAATTGTGTCCACTCTATATCTATAGATCCATTATGATTTCATACTTTATACTTGACATGTATATTAACCAACACCAGAGGGTGTGTCATAATGTTTGTACAACTTCCTAGGTCAAAGTTCAAGGTAAAAAACTGGTTTCAGTTGACAACCCCATGTCCTATGGTAAAGATCCGTGTCCGCTGTATATCTTGAGAACCATTATGATTTCAAAGTTTATACTTGACATGTGTATTAAACAACACCAGAGGGTGTGTCATAATGTATGTACAACTTCCTAGGTCAAAGGTCAAGGTCAAAAACTTTGGTTTCAGTTGACAACCCAATGTCCTATGGTACAGATCATATCCGCTCTATATCTTGAGAACCGTTATGATTTCAAAGTTTATACTTGACATGTATATTAACCAACACTAGAGGGTGTGTCATAATTTATGTACAACTTCCTAGGCCAAATATAACACTAACTAAAAAACATAGAATAAAATCATTCTCAGCACACAACGAGACTATGTAATAACTTAAAAAAGTGCTCCATAACAGCTTATCCATACAAATTTTTTTCCACACATTATTTACAGCCAGGCCCACAGAGATGGCTCCCATCTCAATGATGTCTAGTTTGTTTAGGGCAAAAAATCATTTATATTGAAAAAACTTAAGGCATATGTAGCAGTATCAACTTCCTCATAAATGACATGGTGACCAATAATAATGACCAAAAAGTTTCCATAATACATGAGACCAATGATAATGACCAAAAAATTTCAATAATACATGAGACCAATCATAATGACCAAAAAGTTTCCATAATACATGAGATCAATCATAATGACCAAAACGTTTCCATAATACATGAGACCAATCATAATGACCAAAATTTTCCTTAATACAAGAGATCATTGATAATGACCAAACAGTTTCCATAATACATGAGACTAATGATAATAACCAAAAGTTTCCATAATACCAGGGACCAATGATAATGATCAAAAGTTTCCATTATACAAGAGACCAATCATAATGACCAGAAGTTCCATAATATCAGAGACCAATCATAATGACAAAAATTTTCCTTAATACAAGAGACCAATCACAATGACCAAAATTTTCCATAATACCAGAGACCAATGCTGATGAGCATAAGTTTCCATAATACAAGAGACCAATCATAATGACCAAAATTTTCCATAATACAAGAGATCAATGATAATGACCAAACGTTTCCTTAATACAAGAGATCAATGATAATGACCAAAAGTTCCATAATACAAGAGACCAATCATAATGACCAAAATATTCCATAATACAAGAGATCAATGATAATGACCAAAATATTCCATAATACAAGAGATCAATGATAATGACCAAATGTTTCCATAATACAAGAGACCAATCATAATGACCAAAATATTCCATAATACAAGAGATCAATGATAATGACCAAATGTTTCCATAATACAAGAGACCAATGCTAATGATAAAAAGTTCCATAATACAAGAGACCGATCAGAACGACCAAAATTTTCCATATTACCAGAGACCAATGCTGATGAGCATAAATTTCCATAATACAAGAGACCAATCATAATGACAAAAAATTTTCCACAATACAAGAGATCAATGATAATGACCAAAAGTTTCCTTAATACAAGAGACCAATGATAATGACCAAAAGTTCCATAATACAAGAGACCAATCAGAATGACCAAAATTTTCCATAATACCAGAGACCAATGCTGATGAGCAAAAGTTTCCATTATACAGAGACCAATCATAATGACCAAAAGTTTCCATAATACAAGAGACCAATCATAATGACAAAAATTTTCCACAATACAAGAGATCAATGATAATGACCAAAAGTTCCATAATACAAGAGACCAATCAGAATGACCAAAATTTTCCATAATACCAGAGACCAATGCTGATGAGCAAAAGTTTCCATAATACAGAGACCAATCATAATGACCAAAAGTTTCCATAATACAAGAGACCAATCATAATGACCAAAAGTTCCATAATACAAGAGACCAATCATAATGACCAAAATTTTCCCTAATACAAGAGATCATCGATAATGACCAAAAGTTTCAAAATAAAAGAGACCAATCAGAATGACCAAAATATTCCATGACACATGAGACCAATGCTGATGAGCAAAAGTTTCCATAATACAAGAGACCAATCATAATGACCAAAATATTCCATAATACAAGAGATCAATGATAATGACCAAATGTTTCCATAATACAAGAGATCAATGATAATGACCAAAAGTTTCATAATACAAGAGACCAAGCAAAATGACCAAAATTTTCCATAATACAAGAGATCAATGATAACGACCAAAAGTTTACATAAAACAAGAGACCAATCATAATGACCAAAAGTTTCTATAATACAAGAAGCCAATCATAATGACCAAAAGTTTCCTTAATACAAGAGACCAATGATAATGACTAAAAGTTTCTATAATACAAGAGACCATGCAATGATAATGATCAAAAGTTTCCTTAATACAAGAGACCAATGATGATGACCAAAAGTTTCCTTAATACAACAGAATTTCTGAACTGGATCATTGCTTATAAGATCAGGATGTTATTAGTATGAGGATGATGATGTTAAATGTCCAGTTGCAAATATTATTTGATTATCAGGAAGGGACATATCTATGTGAAATGAATACGAACTCTGTTTTGTACTAGACTAACATGCATGCATAGTCAGATTTTCAACATGCTAGTTCACAAGGTAGTAGCCCACAGGAAGACCTGTGACCCTAACCAGACAAATTAGTCTGACTGCGAGCTAATCAGGCCCTGCTATTACTCATCAATGCTGTTCTTAAAAGAGACACAGCAAACCAATTTTAAAGTATTTGTTTTGACCAAACCGAAGTATAAACCCAAAACCTCCTGCTCTTGAGGCAAGCATGCAACTCTGAGACCATGGAGGAGGTTTCCAGGATGTAAGTATAGAATTAACATTAAGACTCATCAGTGGTCTCCGGGTTGCATGCTTGCCTCAAGCCCTTTATGTTTTTAGTTAAAGCTCTATGTCTGTGCTTATTGAAGACGCTCTGTCCTTTCAAAATACCAAATTGCAATAAGTTCTTTCAGTTTCTATTCATTTAATCAGTCATTATCTGGTGAAAATTTTCAGCCAAATGCTAAATTAAAGTGGTTGCTATAAAAAAAAAAGCAAGTGCAGTGTTATGAAGATTTTTCTTATCATTCAATTCTATTGGATGACACTTTATTTTTATGTACCGTAGTTGCAAATGAAAACATATATATGTAGGACTCTAAAGTGCGATGGGGACGCTAAAACGCGATGGTCACGCTAAAGTGCGACGGAACACGCTAAAGTCCGATGCTGCGATACGCTAAAGTGCGTTTTTCCGCGAAAATGCGTTTGTTCGCGAAAGTATGGACGTTTGTAACCATACTTAGCATTATGACGCTACACGCCGTTTGTACAAACAAAAATGGACATGGGTAAACGAGAATGTTTGAGCAGATGAAGTTTTTTTTACTAGACACGAAAACAAATGATTCCAATTTTGGTTGGTGCTAGAAAAGTTTGTATGCGGAGGAGTTATTTCCCAAAAAATCATCGACAGTAACAGAAATGCAAACCTTTGATCCCGCTGTGTCGGCGGGGACACACGGGTTTCTGACAGGATACTGGAAAAGAATATTCTCAAAAATTTAGAAACTGACGCTAGTAATTGGAAGGTGTATACCGTAAAAGAGAGCGAAAACGGCAAAATACACCAAGTGTCAAAGTATTTAATTCGTCCAAATTTGAGTTAGAAACTCCTTCTATGTTTTTAATCCCATGTTATTTACTTGCGTGAAATAAAAGCTACTTTTTAATTTTCTAATTGAAATATTTTATAAAACAATTTTTTACAATATGGTTCGTCATGTCTGTGAAAGAGATAGAAAACAATAAACAAAAAACAAATAAGAAGTTGTGGTGTAATTGTCAACGAAACAACTTTCAACCAAAACCATATGCACTTAGCAACATTATGAACTTCAACGTGGAGGCTTGGCTTACATCGCATAGAAGCTATATAGGACCACGAAACGACTAATGTAAAACAATTCAAAAGAGAAAGACAACAGCATGATTTATAAACAATACAATAGACGAAAAACTAATATGAACACAGCAAAAAACATAAACCATTGCCTGAACCCCATTCTCGTTACACCATCGCACTTTTAAAAGCGTGTTAAACCAACGCTCTTTAGCGTGT